AATAAAGTGATGTGCTAGTCCAGTTGGGGCCAACCTTTTATTGCGGGCATGCCACAAATTAGCCTTCCACCCTCCCCAAGTGCCACTTCTATCTCCTTCCCCTGCCTGATCTTCTGCTCTGCTTTTTGCTTCCCACTATATCTGCCTGTCCCCTCCCCAGTCTGCTATGTGCTACACACAATGGCTGCCTGGGCTACTTGTGACACATGTGCCACAGGTTGGCAATCCCTGTGTTAGTCTGTATTTGAATGTTATTTTTACAGTGTGAATGGAGAAAAAGAGTGAACCAAGTTTTTCTACCACTGATTTCTGTGATTCAATGAGTGAAGAACAAATACAGTTCCAGAAGCTGGCATTAGGGCTTATTAAATCTTTTGTGTGTGGTGGAAACTCCGTTACAGATAACAAAGGACTCAAACCGAATCCTGTTACCATGACTTAGCTGAAGAAGTCCACAAATTGTTGAGAAATGCATGTACAGACCTCAGTGACAAAACAGCTTATCGTGATAGTGTTTCACTGCAAGCTGTTGACAGAGCTCATTTTAACACTGTACTACACAGTGCAACATCCATTCAGAATGCAATTGTACAACTTAATTGGGAACATATGGTTTTTTGACGCCCCACACTGGCTATGTGCATCTAGCTCACTACTGTGATGTGTTACACCCCGCCCCCCGCCCCCACCATGCTGCCACTTTCCTTTGAATCTTAAGATATTAGCCTCTTCATCTGTGTTTTAATAGGATCTTGAAATGGAGCAATTCTGTAGAACACCAGCAGGAAACTGTGGGGCCAGATTCAGCCTTGTTACTATTCAGCTCCTTATGGCAGTCTGAGGTGTAGGCTGAGTAGGGGAAGCTGCGAAATGTGAAGGTGAACTGGTGTTTTTCCACATCTGACCTAGAGGTTTCTTGCAGAGAAAGCAGCTACTGTTTCACCAACTGGTTCTGCTCTGATCTAGCTTGACAGACCCTCATTTTGAGGTGGTTTGTTACCTTAATTCTTCTCCCTCCTCCCAGCAAAGAAAGGTAGCTTTTACTATCTTGATGCCATTGAACTATCCCATTGTGCGGGCCAGTCGCGAGCCGGGCCCTTTTCCGTGCTGCACGCGGGCTGTGGCCAGCAGCCTGGGCACACTGGATCGGAGAGGGAGGGCGACGAGCTGGAATTAGGCACAAACGCGTAGCGGTAGTTTTAAAGATTGTTTACTTACACCGAGATGGCAGTGGTGTAGGCAGGAAAACTTGCTTGAGTTGCGGTTACAGACAGGAAAGAAGAGAGGCGGACAAGAGTTCTAAACTCGTGAACTCTAGCCCAATCCGGCTGAGGGCTCTAAACACGTGAGCCCGTCGTGTCAACTGAAGAAAGTACTCGTCCGAAAGAGCTCTGAATAAACTCACACGAAGTTTGCTAGGCTCCATGGGTCCTTCTGCTCACTCATCCACACAAAGTTTGCTAGGCTCCGTGGGTCCGGTTCTTTTGCGCGCAGGGAGGGATACGTCTAGGAATCTATCGGCGACGGGGAGAGGCTAGAGGCTGATCAGACCTCTGTTGCCTGCTTGAAATGCACTGGGTCATCCTTTTTAACCGGCTAGAAAGCCAATCACTAGCCGCCACGTGTGAATAATTTAGAACTGGCCAATAATGGGGCTCGAATTAGCATACAAATGGCGGGAACTCTTTGCAATGAGCATTTCTGTGCTGCAACGAAGAAATGCACCCTGCAAAGAAAGCTTCAAATTGGCGGGAAATTCTCCCTTGCACCAGGGTTCTCTTTTGCAGCAGAAAACTCCACCGTGCAAAGAAGCTGTAATTTAGCGGGAACAATTTAGCAGTGCCGAAGCACACAAAAACAAAAATCACACCCTTTGGGTTGTGACACCCATCATTCCTGACTTTGGAATGCCTGGGGTCCCCCAATAGCTCCAGTAACAGGGATGAAGAGTCTTCAATATAAATATTACCATAGTTACTCAAATACAAGATGAGGTCCCCCACTCCCCCCCGCAATTTGGCATGGGGTCTTATAATTGCTTACAAGGAAATCTACCTAATTACATTGTCTATCATTAAGCTGTTACCAAAAGCAAAATGTGCTCAGTAGTGAAAACCAACTGTAAAGTTGATTAAATGCTTTTAGAACTTGGGCAGACAAGTTGATGGAAACATACCACAAGAATAGGTTAGTGTAGCCCTTCTGAATAAAACATACAGTCGTGCCCATTAAGTGCAGTCCCCCTCACCACCAACTCTTTCAAGTCATGGTGAGCCACAACATGGCATACAATTCACCCAGAATCCCTCTGTCGCCCCTTCTCTCAGTTGGCCCATATGATTGGTGTGGCCCTGCCCCTCCATGAAGTGAAGCCAAACTTGGTTGTCCTGTGCCTAATCTGCATATAAACTTTTGGAGCATCCCAGGACTTGTGACAAAAACACCTGCTTCCGATCATGAGTGGCAGCTAATTAGCATTTGGATCCTTTGTCAGAGGTATCTGGGGACAGGAAGCCCTTGCCATTCGTGGACTCACCATTCGTGGTTTCAAATATTCACGGTGCAAATATTCAAACCCACGCTCTCTCCCTGCGCAGGCTCTCCCCCCGCACGCTCTCACCAGCTCTCACGCACTTTCCTTATAGTTTATGTTACTTAACTGACTTGCCACCATGGTAATTGAAGGAGCGCGGTGACAATTAACATTCATTGTGGATCATGAGCTCCTCCAAGCTTGCAGATCAATTGATCTGCTGCCCTGTTCCCAGGGAAGTTTTTCTCTCAAGATTAGTCTTCAGCAGGTCCATCCAGCCTGCTCCTCTTCACTCTTCCCTCCCCCGCCACTGACAGCACCACTGCCGGGCTCCCAACATATTTATGGATTTGGCCATTCACGAGGATCTCTGGAATGGATCCCCCGCGAATGGTGAGGGCCTCCTATACACAGAAATACTGAGCAGTGCTAAACTGTGGGGTCAGCCCAGTGAACTGTGTGGTAAATCACAAGCCTTTGCCTTTGGACGAATATAAGTAGGTGATAAAGTACTGCTTAAAAGTGTGTTTATGGAGTGCCTGTGCTAAAACTTGCAGTAGTTTCAGAAAAAGGTAACATGCAACAATTCTGGATAAACTAAGTGTGTAAGTACTATATTCAAATTGCTACAGCCATGTTTAATTTCAAGGTTATTATTTTCAGATTTGCACTTTACTTCCATATGCTCAGGGAGAGCAGTCTCTGACAGTAAGGAGAGTTGGAAAGGGCTGCTAAGGGGAAAATATTGGGGATGTAGAGAGCAGGGGGCTATGTGACCCCCCCAAATTTATTTTCCCTGCTGTAGCAGTAGGAAGGGAGGGAATTAAACGCAAACCTCCAATAATTACTTCTATGCCTGGAAAATTATAACACATTTATACATTTTCCGTATATAGAATCTAATTATTGGGGGGTGTCTTATAAAGAAGGTCATTATGCAAGTAAATATGGTAAATACGAGGGCATAAAAAGTTGAATTGTAATTACCTGATAAGATGTAACTATTTGATATATGGTTCACTCCACTTATTTCACAGTTTCAGGATCAGATCCACATGGTCTATGTGCATTTTTTAGAACAAGATAATTAAAATACTCTTTTTTAAATCTATTTTTTATTAAAAAACCTTTCTGCTTTTGCAGTTATGTTCAGATATTTTCCTAGATGAACTATGTTTTCCCACAACTTAATGTGAGAGAACATAGCATGGCTGATGCAGTTGACCAGCAACTATAGCACTGCAACAGGTCATTAAAGCACCTTGCAAAAAAAAAAAGCATTTTAAACAGTGGTTGAGGAAAAAAATGAAAGTTTGTGCTTAATTAGTTAGCCATAATGTAGTTTCTGAGAATATTCTCTATAGGAATTTGATATTCTTATATGCTTCATATCCATATCTATTTATCTCAAGTATTGTATCCTGCTCCCTTAAAGATATCTCTGTGACTAGAACTTCTCCTAAGCCAGTTGCTTTGTGTACCATTAAATAACCACGTTAGCAAAATTCAAATGAATTCATAGAGGTTTCCCTTGCTTTATGGTGTACATGTGTTCCTGGAAAATAGTGCATAACTCAAATTCACATAAAGGGGAACCCACTTATACAAATAGGGATGCATTCCAAGACCTTGACTCTATTGACCCCCAGACCCATTTCTACCACTTTTACAAGACAATTTTGGTACTCACCAACAGCAGAAAGTACACACAAGCAGAGGGCACTATCATAATGAGGATGGCAACTACAGAAACGCATATCGCAGACAATGAGCAAGGAGCACATATCCACACAGGAGACTATATTTTGGTGAGCATCACTCCCACAATGCACTGCACAAAGCAGCTGACTGCGGGCTTCCACCACACCAATCACATAAGAGTGAATTTACCTCGCATATAAGGAATCTTTGGTATAACAAGGGCCATCACATAAGAGCAAATTCACACATACAGAACCCGCATAAAGTGGGGGAAACCTGTGTGTGTGTATATATATATATATATATATACACACACACACACACAGTAAAAGTTCCATTAACCAGCAATTTACAAGCCGGCATACTCTATTAACCAGCATGTCGGCTTGTAAGGCAAAGTGAAACCGGAAGTGCCCACCATAGCACTTCCGGTTTCACCAAGCCCCCATGGCCCGGGGCAAAGCAGCCTGCGCTGCCAAGCCCCCATGGCCTGGGAGCATGACAGGCTGTGCAGGGCCCGCCTCCATGTCCCATGGCGGTGACACCCCAGACGCAGCAGGAGAAGCGGCGGCCCAAACAGGCAAGGACGCCTGTTCGGGCCGCTCAATTAACTGGCATATTTTATTATCCAGTATCCCCTGTGTGTGTGTGTGTGTATAATATATAGTTCCACAGATGTGAAATGAAATTGCAAGTGCACCACTCTCTTCGCATCTTACAGACTTTTAATATCACAGTGAAAAACATTTCCTTTATTTTCTTACAGTACTCACTGATGGATTTGTTATCTAAGATGGTGGTTGGCCAGCCTCACTTTGTCCGTTGCATCAAACCAAATAATGACCGGCAGGCACATAAGTTTGACAAAGAGAAAGTACTGGTGCAGCTACGCTACACAGGAATTCTGGAGACAGCAAGAATTCGAAGACAGGGTTATTCTCACCGTATTCTGTTTTCTAACTTCATAAAACGGTACATATGTGAAAACGTGGGCCTTTTTCCATGATGACTGTCATGTGATGTTTGCTGGTTATCATCAGTGTGCTTGGCACTATCTTAAAATAGAAAAGTGAAAAGAAAATCCTTGCCAAAGAAGGTGACAATCTAGACTGGACAGACAAAATAGTTCTGATGTGGGGGTAAATACCTCCTTTTTGATTAACAGGGGGAAACTGCCACAAAAAAAAAGTTTCAAGCTCTCTGCAGACTCAGAAATCACTGTGAGCACAGTTTGAAGACTTTAGGGTTTGAAGCTTAAGAGATTTTAATGTTTTGAATTTGGTGCAAAAAGGTGACAGCCTCCCTAAATCATAACTGTTGCTTTAGCTGCTCAGTGTCAGTCTAGTTCAGCCTCTGGCATTTCCATGCTACTTCAGGATTTGATTAGAGAGTATCTATCCAAGATTAAGTTGTAAATTTATGAATACATGTTCCTGCTACTTTTACATTTAGTTCATAAGTGTTATTCATATGTTAAGAGAAGTGTTTCACCCTTGTTGTGAACATGAGAATGTTAAAGTAAAAAGCTCTACTCAAATGAGAATTATTAAACAATGATTTTGAATTGCTCTTTACAAATAAAGAAGTCAGGCATTTGCCTATCTCAGAACATAAATTTACAGGGGAGGGGAAATATAAAATATGCAGAAAACACCCACTCTGATAGAAGCTCTTAAAGAGATAAGGGATGTTATATAGATTTTTCAGGAGTGCTGATGGGGCCATCACTTTGTCTGGAAAGCGCAGCCTGATGAGGCATAGTTAACACTGTATCAAGTAGTGAACAAGCTGTGATGTGATTTTTGCTGCTTGTTTTCTAAAGATTTTCGTAATGGTAATGTAAGAAGGCAATTGCAGGGAGCAGCAAATATAAAAAACGACCTCAAGTCACTAAAGCTCCACTGAGGTCAGCCAGGCTATGTTGATTCACACCACAGGAGGATCAAGAACCCATGCACAAGGGTTTTGTTAAACATCTGTCAAGTTTTATTTGAGCCTTGTAGTTAAAGTCCTGGCATAATGGGAAAGTTTGTTTATCAGACTAAAAATCAGCCAATCCAATCAGTAGTAAAAAGAACAAACTGCAGATTTAGTGGCAGTAATAAAGGAATCAGCACTGTTTGTCCTTTTTATTATACCATAGGGAAACTGCCTTCATTTATAACTGTACAGTCCAGGCTTTGTATGTCTAGATGAGCTGGACAACAAAAAAGATGACACCTAACCTGGCAGATACCCCACACAGTAGTGTTTCTGTAACTGTTCTTGAACTCAGAAAAATGAGAGAGGAGTTTATTATACTCAAAACCTCTACCAGGAAAATGCAGTTGACATGCAGAATACATTTCCAGAAAGGACTAGCAAGGTAGTTCTAAATAGGTGAGATCTAAATAGGTGACTGTTTTAGCAAACCAAAGAAGAAACCCTGTCAGCAGAAAAGAGAAGAGCATACTAATTTCACATTTCTTGAGGGACATAGACTTTACGTAGTAATTTTATGGTTTTACCCCCTAGTTCTACATGCTAATCATTATCTTGTCGGACACAGCCTGGTGGTCTTTACAGTAGACCTATGTGAGGTTGTGTTGTAGCAAAGGCAGAATAAGTTTTGGAAATTTTTATGTAAGAGTGCTCTGTCCTTAGCTGAAAGTACCCAGGAAATGTTTCCTTAGAGCACTTAACTTCAAATATTAAAATCTGAAGTGAGAGAGGTATTCTCTCAAATACGCATGACCCAAGCTACAAAGGTCTTCATACATCAAAAACAACACCCTAAATTATACCCAGGAAAAAACTAGAAACCAGCATAGTGTCTGCAGCACATATGTGAATAACTCCCTGCAAAGATTTAAGTCATGTTCTGCAAGAGCTGAAGTCTGAGTGGTCTTCATAAGTAGCCCCAACTGTTGCAGTAATCAAGCTTAGCCATGGCAAAGGCATGGATGCAAGATAGTAAGTTCATTATTTTGAAATAATATAGCTAAACAGAAAACAATTGTAAATACTAGGATCAAAGTGTTTGTTGTCATTCACAACATGCAAAAAATTGTAAAGGCAAAGAATTGGCAGAGGATCTCACTAAAACAGCATGCTTTATAAAAGCCCTGTAGTGATGTTCTAGCACTAAACGCCCTCCAGAGTACACAATTTGCAATAATCCACTTTTAATGAAGTTACTAAATGCTGCCTTTAAATGCATGGTGGTTTTGGCATGCTGTTCTGTTTTAGAGTATTTTTTAATCTTACAAAAATAATTTAAACCTTGTATTTTTTAGATGAATGATATGCATCTGAATCTTTCTATTGTTCAGTATCACTATAATGAAGAATCACGCATTTATCTTTAGGTATTCCCTCATCTGTTATAAAACAAATGCTGATCCTCCAGTCAGCCCTGAGACCTGTGCTGCCATCTTGGAAAAAGCCCACCTTGACAACTGGGTTCTTGGAAAAACCAAAGTAATCTTTTTCATATTAGCATGCATTTTTGGATTTTATAATATTTTTCAATTTCTGTGGTATTGATGGAATTTCTGTAGTCTAGATTCACTTTTGTTTAAAAAAAGAGCTTGCTTTGCTAAATACCGCTCTCTGAGATCTAGGCTGAAATCCTGGCCCTGTTGAAGTCAATAGCAATATTCCAGTCAACTTCAACAGCACTGGGATTTCACTCTGTACACAAAGGAATTTGAAACAATGAATGTTCATACATGTTCTTTTTGAATGTCTGTTGTGGAAGATCAGCTTTAGGAAGCTTTAATATATCCTAGTGGGAGATGAGAGTCCTAAACTTCAAATAATAATTAAAAAGCCTCTAGACATTTTCCACTGAGCAATAGAGTTCAAAATGTAATCTGGTTTCAGAAACCTGTCACAAGAAAAAGATTTTTCCCAGCAAAAGGGGAGGAGTGGACCTGACAAGTCAGCTAAGTGTGTGGAGAAGGGCTGGCTGGAGACAAACTCTGATGTGGGGGTAGGGGGAGGTTTTGTTTATGGGGTAGATATATATCTGTTGACTCAATATTGCCACTTGACTATGCAACAGTTCATCAGTCATTCTTCCACCCTCCCACCACAGCCTTCCCCTTCTAATGAGCTTCCTTTGATGTACCAGGAAGGTGTTCCATATCTCAACCAAGTATCCTTCCTCCCAACTCTGTTAGCAACTCCCTCCATGGCTGACCTCTTGTTATTCACCTATTGTGACACCCAGAGATTCCCATCTAACAGACCAGAGGTGGATGTTCATGGTGATAATGGCACGTAGAAGAAGGATCATCCTCAGGTGTGGATGGG